GCCTAGTCATGACCGGCCCAACAACGAGGTCAAGAAGCCGTGCGCACACGCTAGTCAAGTTATAAAAGCAACTCCCATGGACTGACATTTTGAGCCCTGAGGACGTCAGCAGATAGCTGACGAAAGCTAGGCGTTTTAATTGGTTTTATTAGTAGTTTTAGTAATTTTAACATTAAACCAAAATTTTTTTACCACATTCCCTGGTGCTCGTGTGTTTTTCACTGTTTTAATATGGAATTACCCAGGGATATATTCAAAGAATCACAAACTGTGAGACCACCAGGAGATTAAAAACTACAAAAGGTTTATTACCATTAAAACGTTAAAAAACCTAGCTTTTGCTGGCCTCCTGCCGGCTTCGTCAGGGTGGCTAGCCGTCAGTGGGACGGCTGTTTTTATAGGAGCGGTGCCTTTTGCACCCGGCTCCTAGATCTCGTGACCGGGCCCAGATAGCCCTCCTGCATTGGGTTCTTAATTATCCTTTCGCGAGCTGCCACGCTCCTCTCTCCTTCCCACCCCTTTTCTTTCCCTGCCTTGCTCGTTCGTCGGGAGGGGGGGAAGCATTCCTTCATCCAGGGTGTCACTTTGTTGTTCGTTATCCCCTTTCTTCTTTTTCCCGGTTACCTGCGGTCCCACCTTCTTCCTCTCTTCCTTCTTCCCCATAGCGTTATCTGACTCCTTTCTCACCCGTGCCCCCACCACTCTCATTGCTCCCTCATTCTCATCTTCTGACCATCTCCTCTCTTCCTTTTCCTCCCCTCCGCACCCCCACTCAACCCTTCCTCCATAAGTGTGTGTGTGGCCATCAACTCTCTCTCCGCACCTCCTCGGTGACGGGTCGTCGGGGGCACCAACAGCGCCCCCGCGTTCGTTCTCGTCACCTCCCCGTCAGCGATGTTCCTTTCTTTGTGCCCACTCCTTCTTTTCCTTCTTACTAATCCTCTCCTGCTGTTCCCCTGGTGCGGGGTATTCCCTCTTTCATATCCGCCCTCCTGTCGTGCGCTCCCCCCGTTCTCAATCTCCCTACCACTTCCCCACCACCCTTCCCATTCTCTTCTCTCCCCTCCCTTTCTAGCCTCCGCCCTCCAGTTCGATCTTTCCTCCGCACGCGTGTGGGTGCAGGTCTCCTCCTCCCTACCCTTCCTCCGGCGGGAGGCCATTGGAGGCGCGGGGGTATTCTCTCCTTCACATCCACCCTTCCATTGCTTCTTCCCACTCCCAATCTCCATGGCAAGTCCTCCGCTGCTTCCCCGCCATGATTCCCATTCTTTCCTCACTTCTCTCTTTCCAACCTCAACCCTCCAGTTTGGTTTTTCCTCTGCACGCCCCTGGGTACCGATCGTCTCCCCCTCCCTGCCCTTCCTCCGGCGGGAGGTCGTTGGAGGTGCGGAGGTGCTCCCCTTTTCATACTCGCACCCCTGTTGTCCCTCCCCACTCTCAATCCCCGTGACAGATCCTCCGCTGCCCCCCACCATCCTTCCCATTCTCTCTCCTCTCCCTTTCCAATCCCGATCCTCCAGTTCGATCCTTCCTCCGCACACATACGGGTGCAGGTCGCCTCCCCCTCCCTACTCTTCCTCCAGCGGGAGGTCATTGGAGGCACGGGGGTATTCTCTCTTCCATGCTTACCCTCCTGTAGTTCACCCTCCCCCCTCTCAATCACCGTGATGAGTCCACTGTCCCCACACCATCCCTCCCATTCTCTCATCTCCTCTCCCTTACTGGCCTCAACCCTCCAATTCAATCCTTCCTCCATACACGTATGGGTGCAGGTCGCCCCCCCTCCCTACCCTTCCTCCGTCGGCTGTGACGTCAACTCTTCCGTTGGCTGACCTCTTTTGGGTTCAGGTGGTGTACTGTGGTGCCTAACGAATCTCACTGGATACCCGTTGCGCTTGCACACCCGGAAGAGGTAGTCCCTCTCCTCTTTCTTCACTCTGCTCGTGCTACAGTGGGAATACACCCGTTTGAACAGGGTTCTGACGCAGCTGACCTTATGGGCCACCGGATGGTTGCTCTGATAATGGAGGATCCTATCCGTGTGCGTTGGTTTCCGGTATACCCTTGTATTCAGAGACCCATCTGGTTGCCGATGGACCAATACATCCAGGAACGCCAGGGTGCCCTGGCTCTCCTCCTCCATCGTGAACTGGATTTCAGGGTATACCGAATTAAGCACGCCCATAAAGTCAGCTTTCTGGTGTTTCTTGATGACCGCAAACGTGTCATCTACCCCACTTAGACCCATAGTCAGCTCCATAGGCTCACCTCTACAAAACCTAGCCAAATTTCTCGCCAAACAACTACAACCCTATGCAGAATCCATCACCTCACATGTCAAAAACTCATTCCAGTTCATAGAGATCATAAAGAAACAAAACTTACAGCCCAGTGACCTACTCGTGAGCTTCGATGTCATTTCCCTCTTCACCCAAGTGACAATCAAAGAAGCCTTGACAGCTATCCAAAACAAATATAACCCCCCAAGCACATCCTAGATCTGACCAACCACTGCCTATCCAACACATACTTCATCTATAATGGACAAAAATACAAACAAATAGAAGGAGCACCCATGGGATCACCCCTCTCACCTGTCATTGCAAACCTCTACATGGAACACTTTGAAACCCAAGCTCTAGAAAAATCTGATCACAAACCCAAACTCTGGTGACACCAGAGAGATGATACCTTCATAATCTGGCCACATGGGAAAGAAAAACTAGACAACTTCCTCACACACCTCAACAGCCTACACCCCAAAATACAGTTCACCATGGAAACAGAAGCTAACAACCAACTTCCCTTCCTGGATGTCTTAGTCTACAAGAAATCCAATGGCTCCCTAGGACACACCATCTACCAGAAGAAAACACACACAAACCGCTATCTGCACGCACTCTCACACCACCACCCAGCACAGATCAACTCTGTAGCCAAGACACTCATCTCGAGAACAAAACGCTTAGCTGACGAAAAACACATAAAAACCGAACTATACACTCTCACTAACATACTAACATCCAACGGATTCCAAACAAATAAGATTACCAACCTAATCCAAAAAGAAACCCCCACTAAAATCCAAGACAGAGAACAAGAAAACGGAAAAGCCCTCCTCCCATACATAAAAGGCACCACAGACAGAATCAGCAAGATCCTCCACAAACACAACATCAAGACAGCATTCTGCACAAACCGAAAAATATCCACCAGCCTAAGAAACCCCAAAGACAAAATTGAGTTAGGAAATCAAGGAGTATATGAAATCCCATGCACCGCCTGCCCCACCACATACATCGGACAAACCAACAGAAGAATAGGTGCACACATTGAAGAACACAAGAACTCAGTCAGAAAAGAGGAACCAACTTCTTCCCTGGTCCAACACCTTAAAGCCACAGGACATAAAATTGACTTTAAAAAGACCAAAACTATCGCCAAAACTGAACACTTTAACAACAGAATAATCAGAGAAGCCATTGAGATAGAAAAACGCCCACACAGCATGAATAAACGAGATGATACCTCCCACCTACCAGCCATTTGGAAACCCGCCCTTATTGACAAACGATTCCCTAACACAAAGAATGACACTAGACCCACACTCACGAAAACCACACAGGATGTCACCACCACACATCCACGCAAAAAATAAACCCAAACCAATACCGATGATGAGGCATGACCACAAACCAGAAGCCAGACCACAGCTGCATCATTAGCCATTTTAAACCCCTCCAATCCATACATAAAGCAAACTGACACCCACCATGAAGATATGGCATGATCACGAACGTGAAGCCAAACAACAGCAACACAGCTCTCCATCTCAAATCCCCCTGCAACTCAGACTAATCCGAGCACAACAAAGCCCCCACCCAAACAGAACACACCCCCATCCAATCAGAGCACAGCCAAGCCCCCATCCAATCAGAGCACAGCCAAGCCCCTAACCAATCAGAACACACCTCCACCCAATCGGAACACAGCCAAGCTCCCACCCAATCAGTTCATACCCCCACTGGCATTTAAAAGGAAGAAACAGCTGTGATCACACATTGTTCCTAGAAGCACGAAGCCGAAAACACCAGCCTGAAGATGACGAATGGGACTTCGTCAAAACGTCACCAAGACACTTCCAATTTTACGCAGGAGAAAACCTGAATAACCAAAGACCTACATATATATATATACAGTATATATAGGAAGTTTTTCAGACAGACCGGTCTGATTGATTACACCTTGACATTTTTAACTGCTATACTGCAGTTTTACTTTTTACAATATCTTTTGCCATGCAGCCCCCCAACTAGGGGTGTTAAGCAGGCTCAAGTCGCAACTGCGAAATATTTTAAATCCAAATTTCTTTTTCTGACAAAGAGTTGAAGAATTAAATCGGGAGACTAAGATGGCCATTTCTAGCTTGTTCTGCTTTCATCAGTTAGCCCTTTATGGGATTCGAACCTGGGCAGTTTTACATACTAGGCAGTGATTTAACCACCAAGCCACAGGCTCTCCTCCCCTCTTTGCCAGCTGAGTCAAGGGAGTATACACAGGAAGTTTTTCAGACAGACCGGTCTGATTGATTACACCTTGACATTTTTAACTGCTATACTGCAGTTTTACTTTTTAGGAGAGCCTGTGGCTTGGTGGTTAAATCACTGCCTAGTATGTAAAACTGCCCAGGTTCAAATCCCATAAAGGGTATGGCTAACTGATGAAAGCAGAACAAGCTAGAAATGGCCATCTTAGTCTCCCGATTTAATTCTTTAACTCTTTGTCAGAAAAAGAAATTTGGAGATATATATATGCATGCTATTTTCACCTACAAAGTCATGTAGTGCCTGGCATAAATAAGAGTGATCCATCTAAACATTATTCTGATTAACAGAAATAACTGATTTTAATAAAACTGGCATGCCATCTACTTCGGCTATAGGAACCTAGAGCAAAGATGAAAATGTTACTACATTTTATAAAACCAGTTAAAGAAAGTTCTACTTTTCCCATACCTTGCATTGGCAGAGAGTGCATTCTGTACCATGCTTGATCCAGGATGATCCAGTGAATCGGACTACATTAGTTTCATCCAGACAAGTCTTGGTAATATCATTTTTAATGGTGTCTGCTTGACAAGGATCGATGACACAATGTGGGCAACATTCATTCTCAGGGAGTATGCTGAATTCACAATCCATCTCAGGACAAGACAAAGGCCAGCAGTCAATCTCCCCCTGCTGTTAAAAAAAGCAGATCAAAGGTTATGATGTATGTTGTAATAATATGTATATATCTAATTATGGATGTAAGTATTGTATGTATGATTGTTTGCTAAACCATGAAATATTGAAAGCCATCTGATTGCTGTCATGGGCTATGTGCTAAGAACAGTAACTTAAGTTATTAATAAAACTTCCAGGAAAAATAGGGAGTACATATAACTCTTTCATTGTCCTAAAAGGCACCTGTTTTGAGCTGATTTATTCCCACAGAGAATATTATATATTTGAATTAGATCAGGACTTCATAATATTTATATCCGGCTTATATCCGGCTTATATCAGGCTTCATGAAATTGAAAATCTATGTTTAGCCCAACAAAGAATAGCTACCTCCAAGGCAAATCTATTTGATATTATCTGGTTGTGATTTTCTATCACTAACAGTCCTACTGAGACCTATAGAACTTATTTTTGACTAAAAGTAAATTGTTTAGTATTCCTATCCATTGTTCATTTGTGATGTTTATGTGTTTGCAAGTGCTGAAACTGAACAATGCCTAAGTTGATCTGAATTGCCCATTATCATGGAGAACTTTTCTCTCTGTGTTGTAAATGAAGTTTAAGTCAAATATTTTCAGTATATTTTTAGCTATCTCATTTTTTTCTTGCAACCATGATTAATACCAGTGCATTGCTTTGATGCCAATATTCATGATCTCTATCTGCTATTATGTACTTGTCACTTATCTGAAATTTTAGTCAAAATTATTTGAGAAATATAAAAGAACTATATAACTAATGTAAATTAATAAACAATAGTTAAGGTATAAATAAATAATATCTCTTTAATCGCTCCAGAGTTCATTTGAGAACAAAAAGTAAATAAATGAATAAATAAATAAAATAGTGGGAAGACTTACCAAACATCGGCACTGTTGACAGTTTTGAACCCATGTATCCCCACTATTGTACATGATCTCTCCACTTTGATGTAAACACTGACTACTCAGCCTTGGATCACATTCGGGACAGCAGAATAAATCAGCAGTGGGATTTTCACAGTCACAGACCATTCGTCGGCACATTACATAGCCAGTCTGCCATTGTAAAAGATAGTAAAATGTCACTTATGTTATGCTATTATGACATGAAAAATAAAAAATATTTTGCAGTAGTTTGCAGCACTAAGGATTGAAGTTAAAGACTTTTAAAATCATTTGTAATTTATAATAAGGATGACCTAAAGACAATATTATTTACAATTGAAAAAAAATTATAGTGATTATCCCAAGGTAGTCAGATAGAACATTGAGTTAGGTAGACCATTATTCCTCTTCAGTGTAAAGTCCTAGCTATGCTATAAATTATAATTATTTTCATGTTAATCAGTGAATACTAATATCTCTCATGTAGCACATCAACCACCCCACCCAAAAATTCTGTTTTCAAGTCTTTCTCATTTTTTATTTTTTCACATTCCCAGAGGATCTCCCAACTCACTTGGCAAGAGCAAACGGAGCATCTATCATTTTCCAACACCCAGATTTGTCCATTGTGTTTGATCTTCCTTTCATGGATACAGTCCCCTGTGCAATTCTTCCCATGAGGGCATCGACAGTCATAGCCTCCATCCAAATTAAAACAGATTGTGTCATTGGCACAGCTGTGCCTCCCAGTTCCACATTCATCAATATCTGTAGAAAGAAGTGGAGGCATCAATCAATATCTGAAACTGGCCAATAAAAGAAATCTCAGTAATTTTCAGCTGAAAGGCCTGAATTCCACACTAGCTTACAGCAAAAATCTATTTTATTGTAGTTAATTATAAGAGCAATTAAAATACACGAAAGAGCACTGTATGTTTCATTTTATCTGAAGAAACATTGTGTAGCAGAGTTTCTGTGTTTAGTACTGTATAGCAGAAGGCATGTTAAAATGATGGTCTTCTATACAATGCTATATCAGGTTACATGTTATTTTACTTAAATTTTTCAAAAGGTATTGAGCTGACGAGTTAAGTAGCTAAACAAAAAAAGGGAAAAGCAAGAGGGTTTTTTCAAACATCTTTTGCAAAGCATAAGAGGCTCTAAACATTTACATAAATGCTTGCTAGAAATGAGAACGTGCTATGTATCAGTAAAACTCAATGTTCATATTTATTCATTAGAAAGTATCAAAAGTATGTCTAATTTACCATTTTGAATACATTACACACATTTCAAAAATATTATCCTTTTTTAATTATAAGCAACAAAATTTGTTGGCAAGAATGAAAATACATTCTCTTTAAAAATAATTAAATCTTTGTATACACACACATTTGGGGAACAGGAAACATACTGCTTATTTTAGGAAGTTGCAGGAATGTAAAGAAACCCTTTTTAAAATTCATCTATAGTGTTTCAGAAGATTGGGAGTATATCACTTAAAGGCTACCAATTTCAATAAATCAATGTTTCACTTGGTTCTATTTGTCTTGTTTTAAGACTACTGTGGAAAACAGATCATGTTTTAGCCTTATTTATGCAGAAATGTTGAAAGTTCAAAAGGGTTCACAAAGTTTTAAATACCACTGTACATTTTTTCAAAGATATGTGAAGAACCAAACTTTACTCAAACTTTAGCCAATTATTGCTTTATGTGGCATATGTAACTATTTTCACTCCCATGAAAATTTAAAAAGCATCCATTATACAAACACTTTGCAACTTCTGCCTCCCAGCTACTTTGAATAAAATAAATGAGGAGAAATGAATAGATACAATGAAAATACTACATATGTATACAATTTCTCAAACCATTAGGAGCTGCACACACACACACACACATTCTTTAATTTCTTTTTCTTCTGTTTCTGCAAACATTCTTTTTTGATCTTGTGTTATAACTACAAATGGCTCCCAAGAATATACTTAATCTTATTAATACGAGCAAATGTATTATTACTAATTTAAAAAATTTGTACAATGACAAAGAATTGGCTCAGATGTGAAGGACAGGGTTCCTTCAAGGTGGCCATGCTTGTAAAGGTGTGCTACATTAGCATTTTGTGCACATTTGCATCATAAATTCCCAGCAATGATTTGCAGTCCTACTAATACATATTTTAAATGCTTTATTTAAAAAATATTGTAATAAATCACATGTTTAAATAATATTTTTAATACCAAGGGCATTCTTCTAAGTTTTTACTGCATAGATTAGAATGACGTGGGAAACATAATTTAATTTTTCACAGCTTTAGACCCCATCATTGGCATTTATTTATCACTATTCATTGGTTACTATTTGATTGTAATCTTGACAAGTATTGGAATTCTTTCTTGTTCAAAATTAGTGAGGAATATATTCAGTTGCAGGCATAATCTGGATATTTTTACTTATGATAAACATTTAGTTAAGAGATAATTGTAGATTGAAATGCTGCCAGTAAATTTAATAAAATGGATCTTAGAATGATTAGTTCTGATTAACTAGTTTTTGAAACAATTTAGCTCAGAATGTTTCTTAGCAAATTTTCCATTTCAGCTAACAATAATTATTTGGACATTTTATTCCTAATACTATTGTTGTGTAAGAAATTTCATATTTGGTAGCAATTTTAGGGGATTGAATTGTGACATTTATTGAAGTTTGCTTGCAATTGCTGTGTTATTGGGAATGGGAACATTCACTCACATGAATTGATTTTATACCATTATTGTTAACAAGTGATTTAACATCAGTTGCTGAATGTCAAGAATATATCCATATAGACTTTTTTGCTAAATCCCTAGGATTTAGAATTATTTTGCAAGGGGAATTGAATTTTTAAGGAATAAAGGAAGGCTAAATCAGCCTGCACTTGATTTTCAGCAGTGAATTGTTAATATCTCTTCTTTGTTAGCATTTGAATTATTATAAATTTTAGACAAAAGTTAATGATGGATATTTTTGTTCAATGCTATCAATGTGTTTTTCTTGTGAGGTGTATTTCCAGATCTTTTATCCCCTTTCCTTCTTTTTTTAAAAAAATAGTTCCTCAACATTATTTTCACAAATAAACACACACATGTATTTTGTTCGTTTATTTGATGTAATTTGAACTTTTTATTATTCCTTGTAAACTTTTTAAAGATTCCATTAATTTCTCAGAAAATAAGAATTTATTTCTTATTTCTCTTACACCATTTATTGATAACTTAAAAAAAAACACCATTGTGATGACCCTTTATTTCCTACAGGTTGTATTAATATTTTGTAGAACACTAGATGTTCCACTCTGTTGGCTGTTTCCATCTCTTCTGGATTTTTTTTTTAATTTTGTGGGCATTAAATAAATTGCTACATATACTTGAAAAAAATTGCTCTGTTAAAAATGATACATATAGAACAAAGTTAGATATCATGTTTGCCTTATAACCAGCTGAAAAATTAGTGAAGACAAATACACACACACTCACGTTTACTCATAAAACACAAATACATATCTCCAAATGGCTAGTGCCCAATGTCAACTCACTAGGAATTAGATTCGAACAACAAGTGTCACTTATTGCACATATAAAAATTATACTGTTCAGAGGACTGGGATTCAGCATTAATAACCACACTGATTTAGTTATTTCAAATTTATACTTTAGAGATGTGTAAATGCAACATAATTTCAACAGTATTATTTTTTCTTTATTATGCTTACATTATGTTGTATTTTTTTACTCTAAATAATATAGGGGCAGATTATTTTGTATCTCAGTTTTAATATTGCCAAGTACTTGAAAGTAAATTTTATTTGAAAAAATATGGATGCTTCATTGGGTCTTCTTGCATCCCTAGACTCTACCTTGTGATGCCAGCAATCTAAATTTGGAGTATCAACAGGCATCATAGTCCTGTCTACTGTCTTAGGAAGACTCATCCATCTCCATATGAATTGGTCTTCTCCAATAATACATTCAGACAGCTTTTTCCTTTCAAGGAAAGAGAAATTTCTTTATTCCTGCAAGAGTAATTATACTTAGATGTTAGGCAGTTAATATGTAAAGAGTGAAAGAAAATGTAAATTTTAGTGCTACCAAAATGAAAGAGGTTTGCTTTCCTCTTCTTGGTTTAAATAGTTCATAACAGAATGTGCTTTATTGTCTTCCTTGAGAAACAGAACACAAAGCTTCTATGCAAATATACCTTAAAGTTTCATTTCAGAACAATGTCTTAGAAGAATCAAGTACGGTCTCACTAAATAATTGTCATTTAGATAGTACCTAAACTTTGTACAGCTAAGTTTGCAATACTGCTGCACAGTTTTTTTTCTTAACTGCAGCATTTCTACAAATTGTAAAAGCAGCATAATATTATTTTATGGTGGTAGATGTTTTATAAGGTAATAATAGGTTTTTTAAAAATGTACAGTGTATTAAACATGTAAAACAAAAACAAAAACATAACATGAAATGGTTTTATTCAGATAACAATAAAATTTTCTTCTCCTTTCTTGAAAATGTAGTAATCAATACATTTAATAGAGTCTGCCTATAAAATTATTACACAGAAATTGCCCAATCATATGCAGGTTGTCAACAAATTATTACCACAATTGGGACTAGAATTTCTGTTTGCTTAATAATTATTGCTTAATTGTTTGCTTAATTAGGTAGTTGTTAAGTGAGTCGCACAATTTTATGACATTTTTTGCCACAGTTGTTAAATTATCACTGCAGTTATTAAGTCAAACATATGGCTATTGACTTTAGTTGTCAGAAGCTGGCTGGGAAGGTTGCAGATGACCCCAGATGCTGCAAGTGTCATAAATACAAGCCAGTTGTCAAGTGCCCCAATTTGTGGTAATGTTGTGACAGTCATAAGACCAGTCATTTTTTCAGTGTGTTGTAACTTTGAACGGTTGCTAAATGAATGGTTGTAAATTTAGGGCTACCTGTATCCCTAATCCACAGTTCCTGAGCAAACACAAATAGCTAATCATGCAGTCAAGCGGGTAGGTATGTTGAAAGTGGAAGACTGTATGATCCATCCATTGCTCTAACTCAGTGATCTCCCAACAAATACACAGAGGGATTCTGTAGCATCTAAACAGAACTTGTAAGCCAGTGCATACAATGCCATTTTGTTTAGTTAATCCCCTAATTGTGCATGAGGTACTGGATTTATAGAGATTTTATTCAAGTACTGTATTACAAAGCCATAAAGCTATTCTGGGAATGTCAGAGATGGAGCAGACAAGAGGAAACTTCAATCTATTTTTGGTTTTGCTCAGCACAACTTTTGAAATAATAATAATAATAATAATAATAATAATAATAATAATAATAATAATAATAATAATAATAATAATAATAATAGTAATAGAGTTGGAAGGGACTTTGGAGGTCATCTAGTCCAACCCCCTGCTCAGGCAGGAAACCCTATACCATTTTGGACAAATGGCTGTCCATTCTCTTCTTAAAAACTTCCAGTGTTGGAGCATTCACCACTTCTGGAGGCAGGTTGTTCCACTGGTTAATTGTTTAACTGTCAGGAAGTTTCTCCTTAGTTTTAGGTTGCACCTCTCCTTGATTAGTTTCCATCCGTTGCTTCTTGTCCTGCCTTCAGGCGCTTTGGAGAATAGCTTGACTCCCTCTTCTTTGTGGCAGCCCCTGAGATGTTGGAACACTGCTATCATGTCCCCCCTCATCCTTCTCTTCATTAAATTAGACATACC